AACCAGGAGATGTGCTGTTAGGGAAGGGATTTTACTCTTGTTTCCACAGGAGATGAAAAGCTATGGATACCATCAAAATTGATAAAGATTCGGTTTGAAAAAGAGAAACCTCTTGATAAAGAGAAATAATGGCTCATCCACATAGGTGACAATCATATAAGTGGTAAGAAAACCTCATAAGGGTTGGGGCAGGGTTCTGTTCTTGTCTTTGCAGGAAAATATTCATCTTCAAAGAGTGGAGAGACCTTGGACATCTAGATGCCTAAAGATAAAAAGATAGCTATCCTCAACAAGCAAAGAGAAATCTGCCTTATGATGCTGTATTATCTGCATGGTAAAATTTGATTATTTGGACATGCATACATATCTACTTAAAAATAAGAGCTGGCTTTGGAGTTGGACAATAAAAGCAATTCTAGAAAGTGACATCCCCTCTCCCAACAAAGTTTGTCCTCACGGTTAGAGACACCATTTAGGGGTTGATTACTACTTGCATAGGGTTGGGGGTTGGAGTGGAAATTATGTAGGCCTAGAGATCTCAAAAAAAATAAATAAATAAAAACGGAAGCTTGAATGGGATAATAGATAATTTAGTGTGAAATTATTCACACTAATAATAATAATAATAGTGAGTAATAGAGTGAATACTTGTGAGTTATTATTTATGGACAATTTACACTGGTATAATTTCTTGTATATTGATACAAGTTCAAATTATATTTGTTATTTCTATTTACAATACTTGTACACTTATGCACAGCTATTTTGTCATATTGTATGCATACATATTTATACCTCTGTTTAAGACATTTGGACATTGATACAATTTTAGGATATATTTATCATATTGCATTATATATTTTTATCTCTGATTAAGATATTTATACATTGTTTACATTTTGATGTAATTGTCCTCCTTTACTGCACAGTTTTTAAAAGATTGTTTAATATTCTGATATGAAGTTTTAATCTTTAATATATATGTAGGTATTAAATATTATAGGTCAATAGCCATTCATGTTTGTTATACTTTTAGTCAGACTAATTAGGTTCTTTATATACATAAAGATTGTATTCTGCATAGATAGATAACCACTTCAAAGATCTGTAGAACAGTAGAACATAGCACTTAAATAACTTAGGATTCTGTTGATGTGAGACACAGTTGCTCCTAGCAGCACTGATCTATTCCTGAGAGAGTGTTGAGCACCAAAGGCACTCCACTCAGAGTTTGTCTTCTTCTTGGTACGACTGACCTTTGGGCAAGAAACTGCCCATGGCTCGACCACTGACAAAGTGCACGATGTCCAGACCGAACAAGGAACATACAAGAAAAAAGACTGCCAAATCTTGCCAAGACTGGGTAAGATGGTTTTGAAATATTTCCTGCCTCTGAAAATGGTCTGTCAGTTACTCTAGGCCATAGACAAAGTTGGTTGTTTCAACATTGCAAATGAGACTTTGGGAGATTGTCCAAGTAGACAGTTGTCTCTGTCATCTACTGCACATTTTGGAAGCTGCTTGATTACACTTCCTGCCTACTCAAGTAATATTTTCCTTCTCAGTCCTTTGATGGGGTTGAAAATTAGACAGTCGTAGTTACCATCCTCTTATGATCTAGCCAAGTCATTTCCAATACAAGACTTAGACTCCTCAGGATAGAATATTTATTAAACTTCCTTGCTTAATATTGTTTATGCTGGTTGTAATTCTAATCCTATATTTGATATCTGTTCCTAGTGTATATAGTTTTGTATTGGGTTTGGAACTCTCTCTCTCTCTCTCTCTCTCTCTCTCTCTTTTTTTTTTTGGATTTTTGAGACAGGGTTTCTCCATAGCTTTTTGGTTCCTGTCCTGGAACTAGCTCTTGTAGACCAGGCTGGCCTCGAACTCACAGAGATCCGCCTGCCTCTGCCTCCCGAGTGCTGGGATTAAAGGCTGGAACTCTGTTGTTTAAATAAAAGGGGGAGGTGCTGTGGGAGCTCCTTCTGCTCCTTCAGCCAATAGCCTTTAAGATACCAGCCCACTTGGGTATGGTCTCTTATACTATAAATGCATCTGTAAAGCCTGTGCTCACTCTCTTGCTTACAGCTCTCACTTCCGGCTGCTAGACTCTGTTCCTGTTCCCTGCTCGTGCAGAGGACTGTGATCTAGGATAGTGATCTGTGTAAGTCTCCCCTAAATAAATAACCCTTTATTGTACGTAATTCTGAACTAGTGTGGGATTATTTTGTATCTTCCACCATCAGTGTAGCTATTGCCAGGGCCCTTAGAAACAACTTGTACCAGATTTTCTGTTATAACCATTTCCACCTTGGTGTGTGTATGGAAGGGAACATTTCCCCAGCTAGTCTGGTCGTTGTACCTGAAGGTAAATCTATGCTTGGTCTAAAACACCAATCTCAGTTGTTGTGAGTTATTGTGATGGGTGCTAAGAGGATAGACTGTAATTGATCCGATGATCCTTCTCTAACAAATGCAAGCAGGCTATTCAGCAAGTCCACGGAGAGACATTCTTTTTAATCCTGCCTCCCCTGGTGCAGCAACATTGGACAAAGGCTTCTCTGGAGTGGTCTTTTCTTGCCTACTTTCAATGTAGGCTAAGCTGGGAACATAAAGACCACAGGGAGCATGAGACAGAATCAGTGCATCAGCAGTGGTCAGGAAAGTTCAGCATTTAATAGAGCAAGTTGTGAAACCATTAATGCAGGAGGCTGCTCTCACCCCTCGGCAGTCCTGTGTGTTGGTGTATGCCCAGCACTTGGCACCCAGTTCCTGAATGGATACTGAAACTTCTAAGCAGCTGGCAAGTGTGTCAGCGTGGAGCTCCATCCTCTGGCAAGGGGCAGGCTTCCTGAGTTGTCATGGCAGCCGTCATTGTGCTGGGGAGGATTCAGGCAGCTGGCCGAAGAAGCAGCCAAATGACTTAAGAGTAGCCAGGGAAAGGATCAGAAATATGGATATAGAGAAAACAAGAGAGAGTAGTGAGCCGAGACCAAAGAAGAACAAAAGCTGGGCAGGGGGGGGCAGAGCGTTGCTGGTCACCAGAATATTCCAGGATTCCAGAAAGCTGTCAAGCTACAGAGGTGCAGGGTCTTGCACCTAAGGATGTAACATTGGCCTTGGCCAGAAGCAAGAGGACCTGATACCCAAGGCCTGCAGGACTGTGACACTAGAGGATGCCACTAATGGTTGCTCCTGCTTCCTACTGCTGTGGCTCCTTGCTACTGAACAACAGGGGCAATGACCAGCAACTAGAGAGCTTGCCTCCCTATGATTTCATTTGGGTTGAGCACAAGAAGCTGAGGGACAATTACTTTGACTTCTACAACTATGCCTCCATTTATTCAGCAACTTCATTATTGGTGGGTGGGGCATTTAGACTATTTCCAAACAACAAGCTTTCCAGTACACATATGCATACAATGGTAGAATTACATATTGATCTACGTAGTTAAAAAGCAATTGCTTCCAAGAATACCTGGATGAACACCCCCACTCTCTCTAGCTATGTACTGAGTGACCCTTCCTCCAAGCATTTAACAAGAATTGGAAATGTTAGACTTTGAAAGTTTTGTTACTCTTGAAGCTATGCTATATAGTCTGTAGCTTTATTTTGCATTTTGTCAGTTACTAAAGAGGCTAAGTAAGCATCATTTTATGTATGACTATGAAATGATCTTAGATTGTCAGTTGACAGAAAAGGCCTCCCTCTAACTGCTAGTTGACTGAAATCTTAATGTAGTATGCTTCTTAAAAACAGCAGAAGCAAGAAATGTCCCTTGGCCAGTTGGTGGTGGTCCACACCTTTAATCCCAGCATTCAGGAGGCAGAGGCAGGTGGGTCTCTGAGTTTAAGGCCAGCCTGGCCTACAGAGTGAGTTCTAGGACAGAGAAACCCTGTATTGGAAAAAAGAATAGGAGGAGGAGGAGGAGGAGGAGGAGGAGGAGGAGGAGGAGGAGGAGGAAGGAGGAAGAAGGAGGAGGAGGAGGAAGAGGAGGAGGAGGAGGAAGAGGAGGAGGAGGAAGGAGGAAGAGGAGAAGGAGGAGGAAGAGGAGGAGGAGGAAGGAGGAGGAAGAGGAGGAGGAGGAAGAGGAGGAAGAGGAGGAAGAGGAGGAGGAGGAGGCGGAAGGAGGAGGAAGAGGAGGAGGAGGAAGGAGGAGGAGGAGGAAGGAGGAGGAGGAGGAAGAGGAGGAAGAGGAGGAGGAGGAGGCGGAAGGAGGAGGAAGAAGAGGAGGAGGAGGAGGAAGAGGAGGAGGAAGAGGAGGAGGAGGAGGAAGAGGAGGAGGAGGAGGAAGGAAGGAGAAAAGAAACAAAACGAAAAGAGAAGAAAAGGAAATGAAAGAAAAGAAAAAGCATTCCTTGTTTTGAAAAAGGTTTGACCAGACTAGCCTGAGCTCTAAAGCTCAAGACAGCCTTTTGCTTTGGTGTCCCAACCTGCCGTGCTATGATGCACAGCTCAAAACAGATTTCACATTTAATATTTAAAATTGGCTATGGTTTTTTGAGACAGGGCTTATCTATGTAGCCTGGCTGTCCTGGAACACACTCTGTAAACCAGGTTGGCCTCAAACTTAAAAACAGGTCTGGGCTGGAGAGATGGCTCAGAGGTTAAGAGGTCCTGAGTTCAATTCCCAGCAACCACATGGTGGCTCACAACCATCTGCAATGAGATCTGGTGCCCTCTTCTGGTGTGCAGGCATACATGCTGACAAAATGCTGGATACATAAGAAATAAATAAATCTTTATATAAAAAAAAAGGTCTGCCTCTGCCTCTCAAGTGTTGGAATTAAAGGAGTGTACCACCTCAGCCCCGTTTATTACCACTAGTTTTAATTTTATATTACAGGTGTCTTGTCCTAACAGCATCATCATAACAGGCCCCTTCCAGCTGGGTCCAGTCTCCTTCCCTGTGAGTCCTAAGTCATTGGGAGCTACCTTTTTCTTCATTTAAAATCACAGAGAAACTTTGAGCAAGGGAAGGTGGAGGGTTGCTCACCTGCAGGCAGGAAGAGCGTGGCGCGCACACGGCCCTCGCGCACGGGCACGCGCCGCACCCCGGGAGCCATGAAGTGACGCTCGTGCACCGCCCGCGCCAGCAGCCGCCCGCCGTCGGGCTCGTGGCCGTCCAGCACCTCCAGCTCCACCACGAAGGGCGTCTGCACGTCGCGCTTGATCAGACGCCAGAGCGGTCGATCGGGCTCCATGGCCCAGAGCAGCCCCATGGGCTCGAGCCCCGCGAAGCTGCCGCCCAGCGCGGGCGCGCGCGCCAGGTCCAGCTCGCCGTGGGGGTCGGCGCGGTAGCGCGCGTGGGACCGGAAGAGCGCGCCTTTCTCGTCGCGCAGGGCGGCGCGCAGCGTGACGGGCTGCTCGGGGGCCAGGCCGCGCACGGCGATGCTCAGCGGCTCGTCCCAGCAGCTGCGGCCCGCGGGCTCCAGGTTCAGCGTCGCCATCATCTCGAGCTGGACGAGTTGGAGCGGGTGGACTGGACTCCAGGAGTAGTAGTCGTGGGCGGGATGACTCGGTCCATTCCCATTGGTTGGCCTCGGACGCATCCTCCAATCTCTGAGACTTCTTTGTGCAAATTCAAGATTCCCGATAGAAAAGGAGAATGTTTGCTAAGAACAAAGACTCGCCTGGGAATCCAAAGTGTGTCTGAAGTCAAAGCACAATGACAGACAAGCTGAAAAGATTAGAAGCTGCAGCTCCACATTGAAATTCAGGTGGTTCCCAAGAAACATGCATGGCCCAGTTCCCTCTTAACCCCTAGTCTCCCTCGAAAGTTCCTGGTCAGCTCAGTGTTTATGGAGTTCGACTGTTGTTAAATATTGAGGGACTTTGGAAAGGCACACAGTTTCTAGTTGTACTTCTCTTATCTGAAAGGCAAAGGCATGGTAGGACTAGTATATAAGAAGGGGATGCACTGCTGGTAGCCTGGGTTTCACTTGGGGAAGGGCCGTTGTGTCCCGTGTCATCGTGTCTCCCCAATACCCCCCCCCCCCACACACACACACATATCTAGCTGCTATCCATGTCAAGTTGGGTTTCCACCACTAGGGTTCTTTCAGTCTGAGTTCCGTCCCGAAGCAAGTGGTCCACACAAACTTGGCAACAGGAGGAAGTTTCACAAAGGGATTACAGCCTTTTACAAAGGCGTGGGAAGGTTCGGGGGCAAAAGGATACAACGGTGTTTGGTGCAGAACTGCGCCCCCCGCCCTCCCCGCCTAAAGGGAAGAGGGCTGCCTGACTGGAACTGCAGCGCTCTGAGCCAGAGTCAAGTGACCTTAGATGGTACGCAGGCGCGGGTAAATGGAATACTTTGATTCCAGTCTTCTTTTGTTGGCAGGTCGCCAGTGCCTCTGCTTGGCTAAACACCACCAGCAGCGCGCGCACTCCCGCGGCTCAGCTCTGCATACCAGTAGAGTGAGCAGCGTGGAGAAGCAAGGATATGCAGGTGGGAGGTATCCGACCAACAGAAGCTCAATAAATACTTGCAAACTGAGAAAGAAGTTTCTCAGTTTGGACCCCACGTTCAGGTTGTACTGACCTTTCTCCCCATTCCTGCTAATGAAGCAACTGCTGCTGGGTATTTGGAATACCTGTTCCTACAGTGACCTTTCATTCTGGGACAGCGCATCTTGAAAGAAAATAAAAAATCAAAAACAAACAAACAAAAAACCTTGCTTGGCTACCCCAACCCCCAACATAGACCTTAAAATATGCGGGCAGAATAGAGAAAGCAGCTTCTCTTCTCTTCCCATGATGCCCCAGAGGGTGTGGGGAGGGTGCAGATGATTCTCTAAAGTGTGAGGAGAAAGAATACAAGGCTGTGGCCTGGGACTGGCTACTGAAAGCAGCTTCACGGGGAGGTTCCCTTCCTCAAAGCTGGAAGATGCAGCGGCTTCGCAGTCCCAGTGTTGAGAGTACCGTATCTGTGAAGAACTTAGCTGCCACTCAAAGTTCTCTGTGCCCATGACAGATCAGAAAATTCTATGGGATATGAAAATTCTAGGGTAGTTCACTGACTGGAGGTAGCTGTGCTTTCTACCCCAATGGATGACACACTGTGTCCAGAATTAAACAGAAGCATTGTTTTCTGTCCCCTGTGCAGTTGGATTTCACAGGAAAGAAAACATCCTTTGCTTGACCTAGCACTGAATTTCTCTATTTCAGATTAAGGACACTCCCTGACAGATTTCCCTCTGAAATCTCCCGAATTTGTCCGCAATTAAGTGACACAGAGTTCAATGAGTTCAATATGGAAATGTTGAAGTATAGAAATTGTGGCATCTGGGTCTGCGCCATCCCTACCCTCAACTGGGTTTCAGACGCTTGCTTATATCTTACTTGGACAGATTATGGTACATATGAAGTGATGTGAAATATCTCCTTATCTCTCTTTATCTTTCTCTGCCTCTCTTGTTTAACTAGGGCTGCCAGTTATGCGCGCAGACATAACCTTGGACTCCTGATTCCACCTCCCACTCCCTGGGATTACAGAGCTGTACCTGGCAGTAACTGAAAATGTTTTGAGGCTAAACTATAAGGTCAAACACTGACCGCCAAGTGAAGCCAACTGCTGTAGAAAACCGTGTGGAGACCAGAAAGAGCACACTGGTAGGAGCAATAGAAGTCGTGAGATTGAAACTGTAGGAATCTATTTTTCAGACAAGTATCTCCCTTAGGTACTGCTCCACCGGCCAGCATGGCTGCGTCTATGCCAGCACCATGCTGTCTTGTTACTGCGACTCCACAGTGTGTCCATTTTAAAAATTTATCTATCTTATGTGTATGGGTGGTTTTGTTTGTTTGGCAGATTTTTCCCTGTGTGTGAGACTGCTTTGCCTGCATGTATATCTGTGCACCACATGCATGTCTGGCGCCCAAGGACGCCAGAAGAAAGCATTGGATTCTCCACAACTAGAGTAACAGATGGTTATGAGCTGCCTGGTGGGTGCTGGAGTCTAAGCCAGGTCCTCTTTCCAAAGTTTCTGGTGCTTTTGGGCTCTTCGGTCCCTCCACAACATATTCTATAACCCTGTATTGTGTTGCTGCTAAGATTTCCTTTTCTGCATGATTGTTTTGACTACTTGAGACCTTTTGTACTTCTATATGAATTTTAGGATTCTTTCCTAGTCGTATGAATAGAGTCATTATCATTTTGATGCACATGGCACTAAATCTATAGATTTCTTTCTCCACTAGCTATTGCAGCAGTAGCAACTCCCCAACTCATGGACATACAGGTTTTTCTGTCTCCGTGTGTCCTTAACTTTTATCTTTAGTGTGTTTTGTAATGTTTATTGTAGAAGTCCTTCCTCCTCTTTCTTAGCTTTACTCCTGAATTATTCTCACAAGTTTATGAATGGAATAGTTTCCTAATTTTTCTCCCAGCAAGTTCATTGTTATTTTTTAAAAGCTACAGACTAATGGGCAGGATAGAGCACAGCCATAATCACAATGCAAAGGAGAGGAGGCAAGAGGAGGAGAGTTTGGGGCTAGCCTGGACTACCTGGTTGATGCCTTGTATCGAAAAAGAAACAGCACTTATTTTTGTACTTTGTTTTTATATCTTGCTGTTCTGCTGAATTTGTTTATTGGTTTGAGAGTCTTAGTGTAGGTCCTTAGGATTTTCTAAGCACAAATTCACATTTTTTACACTAAAGAAAAAATGATGGTGCAATTTTTGCCCTTGATTAATTTTGTGCTGCCTTGTACCCAATAATTTTCAAATGGCATTTGGCCATTCTTGCATGCCTGAAGTGAATCAAGTCTTCCTCTCCTCCTCCTAGTTCTCCTATCATAGATAGTTTGTTTATTGAGGGGGGAAGCCCTTCTGAGGGTAGAAGAGGGTCATTGCTAGACAAAAATCAAAAGTTCAGTGGCCTGGTTTGTTGTTTTCTCTCCTTCTTTCCTTTCTTCCTTCCTTCCTTCCTTCTTTCCTCCATTCATCTCTCTGACTGTCTTTCGTTTTTATATTTTCAGGTTTTGGTAACAGCAAAATGTAGCTCTGTGTGAAGAACTAGGATCAACGTTCATCTTCCCTTAAACTGTTGGCACAGTTCATCATGAAGCCACAGTGCTGGGAAGCCACACTGCCCTACTTCTGTTTGATGGAAGACTGATTCAATCTCATTGCTCACTGACTATTAAAAGTTTTATAACCTCTTGGTTTAATTTTGTTAGGTCATTTGTGTCCAGAAATTTGCCTGTTTCTTTTAGATATTTTTTTAAAAACTTATTTGCATGTAGTTATAAAAACCATTCCCAATGATCCTTTTCACTTCTGTGGTACCAATTACAATGCATTGTTTTATATATCAGAGTCCTCTCTCCCATTCTATGTCCCCCCTCAGTTGGTTGCTTAAACTCTAGGTTTACCAATTTTTTGTTTCATCAGTTCTTTTTTAATTGATTTTTTTAGTCTTCTTTCTTTCTGCTCTGATCTTGTTATTTCTTCCCTTTTACTGATTAAGGAGTTTAGTTTGTCCTTGGTTACATTTGTTTGTGAGTGTGTGTTTGCTTGGTATTGGGGGTGGGGAACAGAGTCTCAAGTAACCCAGGCTTTCCTCAAGCTTACTACATAACCAAGGATGACCTTGAACTTCTCTCCCCTTCCTCCCCCCCCCCCCCCCCCCCCCCGCCCCACTGAGACAGGGTTTCTCTGTGTAACAGCTCTGGCTGTCCTGAAACTTGATTTGTAGACCAGGCTGTACTAAAGGGTAAGTTTAAGCACAGGTGAGACTTGGTTGCAAAACAAAATGTAACAGGAAGGCTGGGAACATAGCTCAGGGGGAGCAGGTCCTTGGCTCAAGGCAGAAGTATCCTGTACACCTGCTAAATCCATTTGGCCAATAAGATAATTTAAGGGAAGAGCTTTAATTCTGTTCCACTTTGCATTCTAAGTATCCATCTACTCATCAGAGTGAGCCTTGGGGTCCCACTGTTGCTATAGTTCCCTTAAAGGGCTCCCCAAAATGGCAGCACATGCTGATGGTGTTATTGGGAAGTGAGTCATGAGGGCTTGACCTTCAGTGAATTGACCCACTGATGAATTCTTAGGTGAATGAACTCTTCAGTAGGGAGCATAGCTGAAGGAAGTGGAGCCGTGTGTTTGAAGAGTACATCTTGTTGCTGTCTCCTTCCTGTCTCCCTGCCTCCTGCTGTCATGATGGTCCGCCTTATTCAGGCCCAAAGCACTGGGGCCAGCCAGGTGGGACTGAAGAAGCTGTGAGCAAAAATACACCCTTCCTTTCCTTAAATTGTATTTTTATTAGATTTAGTTTAAGTCTGAGTGTTGTTATGGAATGTTTTTTAGTTGTAATTATGTAAAGGTGTGTTATACTCGTTTATGCTGCGGAATATTGCTTTGACTGGGTAAAGGTGTGTCACGTGTGTTTCTGCTGCCTTTGTTTAGTTATGTAAAGATGAGTTTCTTTGGTTTCACCTTGCCTGTCTAAGGCACCTCATTGGTGTTATAAGAAGCTGAACGGTCAATAGCTAGTTAGAAGAGAGATAGGCAGGGCTGGCAGGCAGAAAGTATAAATAGGAGAAGAAATCTATGCTCGAG